AAGAGGCCCAGAAAATCAAGAAATTAAAGAGGATGGTTAATTGCTTGAATTTCTCTAATTTCTCACAGAGAGGCTTAGCAATTAAAAAGCCAGAGAAATTAATTAATTTCATTACTTTCTTTAATTTCTTTTAGTTAGTCTCGCAACCCCACGCGGCTACCGGATGTTTTTTGTTAATTTCTTTAATTTCTCACAGAGAGGCCTAGAAAATAAAGAAATTGCAAAAATTAATTACCCGGCTCACGGGATTAGTTTAAATAAAAGAAATTAATGAAATTGATCAAATTAAAGAAATTGATTAATGTATTTAGTTTCTTTGATTTCTCACAGATAGGCTCTGAAAGTAGAGAAACTACAGAAATTAATTTCATTAATTTCTCACAGAGAGGCCCAGAAATTAAAGAAATTAATGAAATTAATTAATTTCTTTAATTTCTTTAATTTCTTTAATTTCTCACATAGAGGCCCAGAAATTCGAGAAATTAAAGAAATTAATTAATTTCATTAATTTCTTTAATTTCTTTAATTTCTTTAATTTCTTTTAACTAGTCTCGCAAGCCCGAAGGGCTACCGGAATTTATTTCTTTAATTTCTTTAATTTCGCACAGAGAGGCCCATAAACTAAAGAAATTAAAGAAATTAAAGAAATTAATTGGGGGAGCCCCCCCGGCTCACGGGACTAATTTAAATAAATTAAAGAAATTAATGAAATTAATGAAATTAAAGAAATTAACTAATTTCTTTAATTTCTTTAATTTCGCACAGAGAGGCCCAGAAATTAAAGAAATTAATGAAATTGATTAATTTCTTTAATTTCTTTAATTTCTCACAGAGAGGCCCAGAAATTAAAGAAATTAATGAAATTAATTAATTTCAATTTCTTTAATTTCTCACAGAGAGGCCCAGAAATTAAAGAAATTAAAGAAATTAATTAATTTCATTAATTTCTTTAATTTCTTTAATTTCATTAATTTCCTTTAATTAGTCTCGCAAGCCCGAAGGGCTACCGGAATTAATTTCTTTAATTTCTTTAATTTCTCACAGAGAGGCCCAGAAATTAAAGAAATTAAAGAAATTAATTGGGGTAGCCCCCCCGGCTCACGGGACTAATTAAAATAAATTAAAGAAATTAATGAAATTAATGAAATTAAAGAAATTAATTAATTTCTTTAATTTCGCACAGAGAGGCCCAGAAATTAAAGAAATTAATGAAATTATTTAATTTCTTTAATTTCTCACGGAGAGGCCCAGAAATTAAAGAAATTAATGAAATTAATTAATTTCTTTAATTTCTCTCACAGAGAGGCCCAGAAATTAAAGAAATTAAAGAAATTAATTGGGGGGCCCCCCCCGGCTCACGGGACTAATTAAAATAAATTAAAGAAATTAATGAAATTAATGAAATTAAAGAAATTAATTGATTTCTTTAATTTCTTTAATTTCGCACAGAGAGGCCCAGAAATTAAAGAAATTAATGAAATTAATTAATTTCTTTAATTTCTTTAATTTCTCACAGAGAGGCCCCGAAATTAAAGAAATTAATGAAATTAATTAATTTCTTTAATTTCTTTAATTTTTCACAGAGAGGCCCAGAAATTAAAGAAATTAAAGAAATTAATTAGTTTCATTAATTTCTTTAATTTCATTAATTTCTGTTAATTAGTCTCGCAAGCCCGAAGGGCTACCGGTATTAATTTCTTTAATTTCTTTAATTTCTCACAGAGAGGCCCAGAAATTAAAGAAATTAAAGAAATTAATTGGGGTAGCCCCCCCGGCTCACGGGACTAATTAAAATAAATTAAATAAATTAATGAAATTAATGAAATTAAAGAAATTAATTGATTTCTTTAATTTCTTTAATTTCGCACAGAGAGGCCCAGAAATTAAAGAAATTAATGAAATTAATTAATTTCTTTAATTTCTTTAATTTCTTTAATTTCTCACAGAGAGGCCCAGAAATTAAAGAAATTAATGAAATTAATTGATTTCTTTAATTTCTTTAATTTCACAGAGAGGCCCAGAAATTAAAGAAATTAAAGAAATAATTGGGGGGGCCCCCCCGGCTCACGGGACTAATTAAAATAAATTAAAGAAATTAATGAAATTAATGAAATTAAAGAAATTAATTAATTTCTTTAATTTCTTTAATTTCGCACAGAGAGGCCCAGAAATTAAAGAAATTAATGAAATTAATTAATTTCTTTAATTTCTTTAATTTCTCACAGAGAGGCCCAGAAATTAAAGAAATTAATGAAATTAATTAATTTCTTTAATTTCTTTAATTTCTCACAGAGAGGCCCAGAAATTAAAGAAATTAAAGAAATTAATTAATTTCATTAATTTCTTTAATTTCTTTAATTTCATTAATTTCTTTTAATTAGTCTCGCAAGCCCGAAGGGCTACCGGAATTAATTTCTTTAATTTCTTTAATTTCTCACAGAGAGGCCCAGAAATTAAAGAAATTAAAGAAATTAATTGGGGTAGCCCCCCCGGCTCACGGGACTAATTAAAATAAATTAAAGAAATTAATGAAATTAATGAAATTAAAGAAATTAATTAATTTCTTTAATTTCGCACAGAGAGGCCCAGAAATTAAAGAAATTAATGAAATTAATTTAATTTCTTTAATTTCTCACAGGGAGGCCCAGAAATTAAAGAAATTAATGAAATTAATTAATTTCTTTAATTTCTTTAATTTCTCACAGAGAGGCCCAGAAATTAAAGAAATTAAAGAAATTAAAGAAATTAATTAATTTCATTAATTTCTTTAATTTCTTTAATTTCATTAATTTCTTTTAATTAGTCTCGCAAGCCCGAAGGGCTACCGGAATTAATTTCTTTAATTTCTTTAATTTCTCACAGAGAGGCCCAGAAATTAAAGAAATTAAAGAAATTAATTGGGGGAGCCCCCCCGGCTCACGGGACTAATTAAAATAAATTAAAGAAATTAATGAAATTAAAGAAACTAATTAATTTCATTAATTTCTTTAATTTCGCACAGAGAGGCCCAGAAATTAAAGAAATTAATGAAATTAATTAATTTCTTTAATTTCATTTATTTCCCTAAGAGAGCCCCAGAAATTAAAGAAATTAAAGAAATTAATAGGTAAATAAATTAAATTCCTCATACAAGTGATATACGTGAAATGGACCCAAAAGGTCCCTCTCACATATATATATATATATATATATATTTATTTATTTATTTATATGTATATATATATATAGTTAGTACTTGTATCTCAGACCAAATGCTTACAAGATAAACACATATGTGAGGAGCACATGCAAACACTGTTTTGGTTTAACATAGGCCCAGTAGGCCTTCAAGCACTGGGCCACACATTTTTTTGGCCTGGGCACACGTGAGTTGAAGCCGCTGAACCCTAAACCCTAAACCCTAAACCACCCTAAACCCTAAACCCTAAACCTCAGGCAGTGTGCGGTGGGATACGTCACTTCGCGCGGCGACTGCCAGAGAGATGCACTGAACAAGTCGTCCTTCTTGGCCTACAAGGACTGTTTCGGGTTTAGGGTTTAGGGTTGAGGGATTAGGGTTTAGGGTTTAGGGCTTAGGGCTTAGGGGTTAGGATTTAGGATTTAGGGTTTAGGGTTTAGGGTTCGAAATCCGCCCTAAACGCCCTGAGGGTGTATCAGGAATCCTGCCACCACCATCCCTCGAAACACCTTAGCACTTGAGGATGGGGGTTGTGCGAAATAGGGTTTAGGGTTTAGGGTTTAGGGTTTAGGGTTTAGGGTTTAGGGTTTAGGGTTTAGGGTTTAGTTTTGGGGGACCTTTGAACAAGGGCTCCTGCCTACAAGGGGACGAGAAATCAACTCCAACCTAACCTCCTTGAAGGGCATAGAAGCCTCCTAAACCCGAAACCCTAAACCCGAAAACCTAAACCCTAAACCCCAAACGGCCCTAAACCCTAAACCCTAAACCCTAAACGTTTAGGGGGTTCGACAGGGCCCATGCGGGCTTTTGTCACGCCGGAAGGACTCGCGGGTCGACGTAGAGAGGTGCATAGGGTTTATAGGGTTTACAGGGTTGATCGTGTTTATAGGGTTCAGAAGGTTTATAGGTTTGATAGGGTTGATAGGGTTGATAGGGTTGATAGGCTTTATCCATTGAAGAAGTGGAGGCATCGATAGGTTCCACATTTTAGCCCCTAAACCCTGAAACCCCCTCTCTCGACCCGCAGCGACAGGGAAGTCGACACCCTGTTCCTTTTGATTTGGGGGTCTCCATACTCCTTGGAGAGTACAAACCACGTATACCCATGAAGCCCAAACAGGGATTCCTCTCGATTCCTAGGAACCCTAAACCCCTGAACCCCAAACCCGTCCCTAAACCCTCAACCCTAAACCCCTGAACCCCTAAACCCCTAAACCCCTAAACCCCTAAACCCCATGAGGAAGCCAAGCTGCGTTACGGCATCGGGTATGTCGAGGCGCTCCTCACCTTTGTGTCTCAGGGTTCGGGGATGCTCCAAAAATGCAGAAGATCCCATTTTGGGGTTAGGGTTTAGGGTTTAGGGTTTAGGGTTTAGGGTTTAGGGTTTAGGGTTTAGGGTTTAGGGTTTAGGGTTTAGGGTTTAGGGTAGGGGGGCACCCCCTAGTTTCGGAAGTGCACGTGCGAGCCCGAAACGGTGTAGCAGTCTCAGGCAAAAAACGGGAGGGATTGTGGCTTACAGTTGAGGTGTGGGAAGGGTTTCCGGGTTAGGGCCTATGATCTAGGCTTTGGTCTGGCTTTAGCGTTCAATGGGTTTAGGGTTCAAGGTTGGTTTCGATGTGCTAGATCGTTTGCTGAGACAGGTCCCGCTTCACGATGCATACTGCAGTGCGAACCCATTGGGAGGGTCCACATACCTTGAAAACGGGATTATCGTAGTATGGGGTACTACCGGGTGTTAGATATAGGCAAATTCCGTTCCACACATGTAGGAGTCATACCTTAGCGGTCATAGGGGGAATCGTAGTACGGGGAGCCTGGGTAGATGATCCTGGTGGTTGGTGCCCCGCACGCAACACTGAGAGCCTTTGCGCAGACTCCATGCACTCGCTAGTCTGAGGTTTGCAATCACGGGGCGTAGAAACAGATAGTTTCAAACTATAAGTACAACTCGACGTATACATCAACTCTATAGATATGAATCGCCACTTGTATGTATATACATATATATATATATGTGTGTGTGTGTGTATACATATACATATACATATACATACATATATATATATATGTATACATATATTTGTTTTTTAATTCGTATGCTCTTTGGACGGTCAGGGATTCAGAGTCGAAATTCGACATCTTGGGCTTACAGGTAGGGTTTGGGCTTTTGGTCTTTGGGCTTAGGGTTTCGGTTTTAGGGTTTAGGGTTTTAGGGTTTAGGGTTCGGGGTTTAGGGTTTAGGGTTAGGGCTTAGGGTTTCGAACTCTTGGACTCTCAGTGTGGTGGGCATTTGCTGACTTGTATGGTAGGCCATGTTTGAGCATGGCCTGGCTGGCATTTCTTAGTGGGGTATATTTCCTAAACCCTAGACCCTAAACCCTAAACCCTAAACCCTAAACCCGAAACCCGAAAACCTAAACCCTCAACCCTAACCCTAAACCCTAAACCCTGCACAGAACCTGTGGCCCTGGCGGAGGCATCTTTTGCGGGAGGGTTCTTCCCCTTCCTCCCCTCGGTGGAGTACCACAATGAGATGAACTCTGTCGAGGTGTGGATGTCTGTGATCTACCCCAAGCCTCGAACCCCTACAGCAACACCCCAGGCCCTAAACCCTAAGCCCTCGATTCATGAACTTGATTCTTCTTCTGAACGATGCCCCCTTCTATACTGTGGACCCCCCTTCTTTGCAGGGGTGTCCTTCGTTTTGTCCACTAGAGGAGGTTTCGTGTGGGGTTCCATGACCCCGAGACCCTAAACCTTCTTTGCAGGGGTGTCCTTCGTTTTGTCCACTAGAGGAGGTTTCGTGTGGGGTTCCATGACCCCGAGACCCTAAACCCGTTATGAAGGGTTATAGGGCTTCAGGCACCCCTGATACTTCGGGAGCTTGGCATAAAAAGCAGGAGATGGTCCAGCGGCTTCTGCAAAGCTACCAGAAGCGTCAGGCCAGGGAGCCGATCGAAGTTTCATGTGTTGTTAAGTTGAGGACTTCGGGGTTTGGGGTTTGAGGGGGCTGATTTTGTGAGCGTTTAGGATTTGTTGCGTGCTGGGGTGCTTGGGGCTTGAGGGTTTCATGGTCTTTGTCGCAGTGTAGAGATAAGGGGGTTTACGATAAGAAGGGACCCGGTATATAGACCCCCAAAACAGTGGGATCCTCTCACAATAGGTACCCCAATAAGGTGCCCCTAATATGGTAGTTGAAGTCGCAGCACGCCGCTGGTCTTGGCTAACGAAGCGCTCAACCTCAGAGGTTCGCTTATAGGTTTAGGGTTCAGGGTTTAGGGTTTAGGGTTTAGGGTTCAGGGTTTAGGGTTTAGGGTTTAGGGTTCCCCTTTTAAAGCCGCCAACCCCCGATCGGGTATCTGCAGCATGATACGGTTACTGGGCTACCACGACATTGTTCTTTGACCTCTAGACTCTACATCCTAAGACTTATACCCAGATGTCTGGACTCACATGCGCAGGTCCCCCCCCCCCCCCTAAAGCCTATGTGAATTAGGCACCTTAGGTTCCCCTTTTTGAGCATTCCAGGGACTCGCCTTTAAACCCCAAACCCCTAAAATCCTACACCCCCAACTTCTCATTTTCCGAACCCCAAACCCTAAGCCCAAACCCTCAACAGCTCTAAGCCTCCTATGATAGTTTCAGGGTCCCTTAGTATGGGCCCTTAAAAAGGGGGGTTTCTACCCTTCTCAACCCAAGGGCCCATGCATGAGAACCCTTGAAAGAGGCGAAAGGGACCCTACCCTAAACCCCAAACCCCCAACCCTAAACCCCAAACCCCAAACTTCAAACCCCAAAACCCAAACCCCAAACCCCAAATCCCAAACCCCTAAACCCTAAACCCTAAACCCTAAACCCTAAACCCTAAACCCTAAACCCTAAACCCTAAACCCTAAAGGGGGCCATGAAACTACACGTGAGAACCCCGCAAGCCGTAGAGCCCGAGCCCAAGACCAGGCAGCTGAGGATCCGCCCCTGCGCGTGGAAGTGATACCGGAGGCTGGTTTGGGGTTCAGGGTTCAGGGTTTAGGGTTTAGGGTTTAGGGTTTGGGGTTTAGGGTTGAGGGTTTAGGGTTTAGGGTTTGATTAGGGTTTGGGTTTAATTAGGGTTTGGTGTTTGGGGTTTGGGGTTTAGGGTTTAGGGTTTAGGGTTTAGGGTTCGGGATGGTTAAGGGGCTGATGGTTCTTTTTTCGTTTTTTTTCTGGTGTTTTTTCCGTGTTTTTTATGGTTTCAGGTGAACCCTAAACCCTAAACCCTAAACCCTAAACCCTAAACCCTAAACCCTAAACCCTAAACCCTAAACCCTAAACCCTAAACCCTAAAAACCCTAAAAACCCTAAAAACCCTAAAAACCCTAAAAACCCTAAAAACCCTAAAAACCCTAAAAACCCTAAAAACCCTAAACCCTACACCCTAAACCCTAACCCTAAACCCTAAACCCAAGACCATGAAAATACGAAAAAAAAACCAGAAAAAATACGAAAAAAAAACCTGGACCCTGGTTAAGGGCTCATAAGTGTTTGGATGCCATCAAACTCTGCAAGTGGATGGTAACGACAGATATGCGTAGGAGTGTAGAGCACCCATGCCCAGAAAAGACCCCGTTTGAGAGAACTGACCCGAAGCCGTAACCCCCAAACCCTAAACCCTAAACCCGTAACCCTAAACCCTAAACCCTAAACCCCATACGGGCCCGCAGGATTCGGCTCCCGGCCTGCTGGCTGACGGCGCGCTGGCACAGGCCAGCTCTGGGGTGCAGAGAGAGAAGATAGATGTCACGTAGCAGAAAGAGGATACAGGGTTTAGGGTTTAGGGGGTTTAGGGTTTAGGGTTTAGGGTTTAGGGCTTCGGTGATATGATGACGCACCAAAATAGACGGCAGGGAGACGGCTCAGTTAGAGAGAGCCATGGCTTCTAGCCCTGAAACGTTGAGACAGCGGTAGATTTCTTGCTCGCCTGTTGGCTTGGCACTCGCTTGCTCAATCAGGGCCATTGGAGCTGTGGATTAATGGTAGAATCAGAGGTTCAGTGTTCAGGCGTTAGGGGTTTCGGGTTTTATCAGGGTTCAGAGTCATTAATCCGTCCACTCCACCAGTCCACGGCTAATTCAAAACCCCACCTCGCTGCGCTAGAACACGACTGCGCCTGAGACCATGAAGTCTAAACCCTGAACCCTCAGAAACTGGAATTCCTTAATCCCTGAACCCTGAAATCCAAACACCCTTGGTTCCTAAAACCACCCGACCCGAAACCCTAAACCCTAAACCCTGAACCCTCAGAAACTGGAAATCCTTGATCCCTGAACCTTGGAAACATGCCAATCCTAGACCCTAAACCCTAAACCCTAGACCCTAGAGCCGAAACCCGAAGCCCGAAACCCGAAACCCTAAACCCTAAACCCTAAACCCTAAACCCTAACCTTCAACCCCAGAGGCGCTCCAGGTGCCTGTTTCTTTTGCTGAAGGCCACGGCCGGGGGGCGGGGTGGGTGCTGGGCCCAAGCCACCAGGCCACAAACCCCAAAAGCCCTGGCATCTCTAAAAGTTAGGGTTTAGGCTGCAAGGGTTCAGTGTTCAGGGTCTAGGGTTTCTAGGCCATGAACCCTGTTTCCTCCTCCATATGCCCAAGCTGATGTTGGCCGCAGGCTGCAGAATAGGGGCAGGGAGGTCCTATTCCGGAGACTCGCCCGTTCTCTTTGTTTGGGCTTCGGGTTTTCGGGTTTAGCCGGCTCTGGGTCCCTAACCCCTAAACCCTAAACCCCAAGCCCCAAAGCCTAAACCCTAAACCCTAAACCCTAAACCCTAAACCCTAAACCCTAAACCCTAAACCCTAAACCCTTTCAGTCTAGGCTCCTTCTGGGCTATTCTTTGCAGGGGCCTCGGGGTGCCAATTTCGCCGAGCTTCCATGTTCGGGCTCCGGAATCCCAAAGCCGTCTTACTTGGAGGTTCATGGTACTTATTACCAATTGTAACTGTACTTATAGTCAACTTTTAGGCCCTTCAGTGCCCTAATAGTGTTATAAGCACAGTTAGAAGTACGGTTAGAATTGAAGTAGCAGCGCATGGTTCTAGTTCTTATCTTTGGTAACCTGCAAACAGAGAGCAGCAGCACATGGTTATAGTTCTTATCTTGGGTGACCTGCAAACAGTAGGGGGGCATCTCAAGCTAGGGTTCACCCCACACCGTAGCCCTGGACCCTAAACCCTAAACCCTAAACCCTAAACCCTAAACCCTAAACCCTAAACCCTAAACCCTAAACCCTAAACCCTAAACCCTAAACCCTAACATTGGGAATCCCTCCCACACATTCCTTGCGCACCAGGCGAGTCCGTTGGCTACGTCACGGAGCAAGCGGTGAAGCGGCTGAAAACCATGCGGAACAACTTGGAGGCCTCCTTGCACTCCCGTTTAGGGTTTAGGGTTTAGGGTTAGGGTTTAGGGTTTAGCCTGCGAGGGGTTCGTGTCAGTCCTCAAGGCCCTGAGCTCTCTCTGGTTCTGCAGCCTAGGGCACGTAAACCCTAAGCCCGAAACCCTAAACCCCCAACCCTAAACCCTAAACACCCAAAAAAGTACAGAAGAACCGAGTGCATCCTCTCAACCCTATCTTGTATGTAAGCCCTATAGGTGCGTTAATTCCCGACACCTAAGCCCCTGAACCTCAACCCTATAGCCCTCATCAACCCAACACTTTCTAAGCCTCTTGCTGTTGGGGTTTAGGGTTTAGGGGTTAGGGCTTAGGGTTTAGGGTTTAGGGTTTAGGGCTATAACGCTGGAAAAAAAAAATGACGGCGCTCGAACCCCCAAACCCTTTGATTCCTTCTTCAACTCCCCCCCTAGAACCCTAGAATACCCTACATCCCCAAACCCTGAAACTCTAAACCCCAATCCCTCGACCCTGAACCCCTAAACCCCAAACGCCCAAACCCTAAAACCTAAACCCCTCCAAAATCCTCCAGGTTCTCCAGCTCCCAGACCCCTAAACCCTAAACCCTAAACCCTGAACCCTGAACCCTAAACCCTAAACCGCCTTTGGAGCCAGGCCTTGGTATTCATCCACGGCTTCAACTGCGATGCTCGGGAAGCACGTGGGAGTTACCCTGGATTAAGGTTTGAGGGTTTAGGGTTGAGGGTTTAGGGTTTGTGTGAGGTTTAGGGCTTTTGGGTGGTAGTTTGCGGGCCTTGTTGGTGGTTGATGGGGTCTGGGATGTAGGGTTTAGGGTTTAGGGTTTAGGGTTTAGGGTTTAGGGTTTAGGGTTTAGGGTTTAGGGTTTAGGGTTTAGGGTTTAGGGTTTAGGGTTTAGGGTTTAGGGTTTAGGGTTTGGCGCACAGATGCATGAAGCGCATGTTTACCTCTCTAGTCCCTGTGGACCTGAGTTGTCCTCTGAGCCCTAGCAAGGTACCCTGACAGCCCCTAAGCCTCCAACCCCAAAAGGCCCTAGACCCTAAGAGCCCTTTCACCCTAAACCCCAATCCCTAAACTCCTAAACCCTAGACCCTAAACCCTAAACCCTAAACCCTAAACCCTAAACCCCAAGAGCCCTTGGGCCCTCGACGCCTCGACAGCCTCACGACAGTCTGAGGACTTAGCCACAGCCATGGGGCGAATTGCCGCCGGCCCAGCCCAGGGTTTACAGTAGGGTTTAGGGTTTAGGGTTTAGGGCTTAGGGTTTAGGGTTTGGGGTTTGGGGCTTGGGGCTTAGGGTTTAGGATGCCTTTATGAGCCCGCGCTTTTCGCCGGCGTGGGACTGTGCAAGATGTTTTTGGAATCTGCCGCACGTTTTTTTCCTGTGCAAGCAGGTTCCGTCTCAAGCTTTTGGTGGCCTCTTTCTGGGCTTTGACGCAGAGCCTGATCATCATCCTGATGAGCATTCTCATCATGATCATCATCCTTGCATGTCCAATGGTCATCGTCATTATCGTCGTCGTCATCATCATCACCATCATGATCATCATCATCATCATGATCATCATCATCATTATCATTCATCATCATCATCATCATCATCACCATCATCATCGTCATCATCATCATCGCCATCGATGTTGGGCGACCGCATTCAAACTCCGAACACGTAGCTGGCACATAGGGCTTGTCAAGGAAAAGGTTGCTGGGCACTACTGATAACCACTTGAGTAGTCATGTGTGAGTCACCTGGCAGCAAGGTCACCATTGCCGTGTTTTTGAGATTCCAAACACCTTCCGCAGCTGCAAAATACACAAGTTCCTTGTTTTGGCTGTTTCCACTTCAGGACTGTGAACGCTTCAGGGCTTGAAGGCGTCCTTTCTTTTCTGGATTAGAGTTTAGGAAATTGATAAAACAACTGTTACTCTCCGAGGCGTTTGGCGGGAGAGTCCCCGAGTGAGGGCATCCTGTAGCATGTGGGCATGTCTCTCTTCTAGTTTTGTATTTGGTCCTTTCAGGAAGATTCTACAAGATTTTGGGACTACAAGTGGGGGCCCGAACTTCGAAAACTCCCACCGGCGGGGGAGGGGAGTGGGCTTGTTCCAAAAAGCTGTGAACCTTCTTGGCACCCAACTGGATTCGATTGCATTTGGGTAGCAACGGGGTCTATGGTTGTATGGGCAACCCCGACTTCGGCACCTACCCCACCCTGAAGCTATTCCTGTACCTCAGGCACAAACCTTCTCCTTGGGCAACATGGCGCCGCACATTGTCCCCTTCGTCTTCAGCTACTCGGGAGGCTTTCTCGTCAGGGTTTAGGGGCAGACCCCCACACCCTAAACCCTTAGCCCTAAACCCTAAACCCTAAACCCTAAACCCTAAACCCGAGTGGTTCGGCTAGCAATCAGGTCTTAGCAGTGTTGGGCCCTCTTAGGGCCCTGACGCCTTCTGGAGCTGTGGGGAAAGCTAGGTGGCCAGGAGTCGCAACCGCCCACACCCTGTGTGTAAACCCACAACCCTTAGGGGCTAAACGGTTTCAAACGTTTACAGGGTTTCTAGGGTTTGAGGTTTTAGGGATTAGGCATAGCGCTAAAGTTTACGGTAGGTCCGTCGCATCCTTTATGCATTCCCTTTTTTATGATTATCTTTTTTCCGAAATTAGGGGTACCCTGTCGGGGGGTTCCGAAAAGACGGACTACCGTGTTTTTGGATAAAAGTATACGTGGGTCTCTGCTTGGAGGAAATGCCCTAAACCCTAAACCCCTGCCCCTATAAGTTAGCCCTAAATCCCAAACCCAAACCACTAAACCCCAAACCTTAAGGAGCAGCCCTAAACCCTAAACCCCAAACCCTAAAGAGTAGCCCTAAACCCTAAACCCTAAACCCTAAATCCTAAACCTTAAACCCTAAACCCTAAACCCTAAGCCCGAAGCCCTAAACCTCAAGCAGCAGCTGAGCCTCTGCGCAGTGCCGGCAGGCACGGAGCTGTCCTACTTCCAGGTGAAGGCGCACTTCAAGGACTCCGAATCTCTGAAGCGAACCCTCAATCTAAATCATACATAGGGTTTAGGGTTTAGGGTTTAGGGTTTAGGGTTTAGGGTTCAGGGTTTAGGGTTTAGGGTTTAGGGTTGGGGTTGCCCGAATCTCCGAAGTGCCTGCCCCCTCCAACGGAGCTAAAGGAACCGCAGCGCGTGCAGCCAGGACTACGGGAACGAGCTCGCCGAGTTTCTCAGAAGCCTCCGGAAATACTTCTGCGAGGCATCGCCCGGATGCAAGACTTCACACCCTAAGCTCAAAACCCTAAACCCTTCACCCCCCCTAAAGCCACAATGGTTTAAGTTCAGGGCTCAGGGCCCCCAACCCCCAAACCTTAAACCTTAAATCCCAAGCCCCCAAACCCCCTAAACCCTAAACCCTAAAACCCCACAGGCCCTAAGCACAACATGGGAACCTGCAGTCCTTAAGCCTTCAGAAGATCGTGGCAAGAGCAAAGCATCTGCATTTCTGGGTTGCAGGGCCTTTTGGGGGTTTAGGGTTTTGGGTTTGGGGTTTAGGGTTTAGGGTTTAGGGTCTCATTCCCTACGAAGAACTAGGGGGTCCAGTGGCCTTCTTGAGGGTATCTCGGGCTATCTGCTGATTTGAGTTTTGGGGGTGTTTGGGGGGCAGGCAGTAATTTTCCTCCATCATTCCGAACGTGCGAGGCTGTGCCAGATACTGTCTTTCAGTTTCTTGGGGGGGGGGGGGGGGGGGGGGGGGGGGGGGGTCCAAGTTCACCAGCCCTTCTCAACTCAACTGTTGCAACTCATGCCTCTTAGAACAAGAAGGCCCAGCTAAGCCCTAAGCTCCAAACTGCTAGTGCTCTGAAATGCCTCAACCCTAAACTAGACACTGAACCCCAAACATGAACCCTTTTTCCTTCAGCCCAATTCATGACGCTCTCTGAAGCACTGTTGTTTAGGGTTTGTTTATCGGGTTTATAGGGTTACAGGGTTTAGGGTTTAGGGTTTAGGTAGCCCTCGCGCAGGTACATATCCTGACGCACTCCTGCGGGGCCGAGCCGCGCGCTCGCGCTTGGCGGGTGCAGGGTTTAGCGCTTAGGGTCTTTAGGTTCTAATGAGTGTTTAGGGTTTAGGGTCTATAGATTCAAGATTCTAGTGTTTAGGGTTCTAGTGTTTAGGGTTCAGGGCTTAGGGTTTAGGGTGTGTCACACGCGTGCGTGCCCTTGCGCTTGGGACTGAAGTGCGGTGAAGTGCCAGGTGCTGGCGTCGCTTGTGAAAAGGCTTAAGCGCGGGGGGGGGGCATCCTAGTCTTAGTCTGCCTTCGCCGGTGAGGCTTGATCACCTCTTCGAATCCCACGCTTTCCGCATGCGCGCTCTGTTTGTGTTTGGCTCGCGGCCAAGCGTTCGGGCCTGTCGCTCAACGGATGCGACCCCTCACCAAACTCATGGGGAATTTCCAGCCCAGAGTTAACACATATTGGGGCTGAAGGAGGGGTACCCCCCACCCCCCATTTTTTAACTACCCTTGCACGACTTGCGCGGCCCGATCCCAGTTAGTGACCTTGGTTTAAAACGCCTTGGTAGCCCAGTGCAGTGGTACCCTTTTCCCTTTTTTCTGGGTTCGAGGTTCCCTTCAAAGGTAACCAACCCAAAAAAGGGTGCCCTTATTACAAGATGGTTGCTGGCTTGTAGAAGGATTGTTGCCGGCAAGTCAACATAAAACCCTAAGCCCTCAACCCTAAAACCCTAAACCCTAAACCCTAAACCCTACACCCTGAACTGCTACATGGCTTCCTTAAAAGGGCTCCGCAGCTCAAGCCCTGTTCAGACCCCACAGCAACGCGGGCGCTTGAGAGGTTCTAGGGGTAGTTTCATGGGCTCTTAATATGGTCCCTTACCTTCTTTAGAATGGGTTTTAGGGTTTAGGGTTCAGGGTTTAGGGTTTAGGGTTTAGGTTCTGAAGTAAGGGCCCTTGGGATTTATAAGGTCTATCGCAACAAGACATCAACAGCCCTTTCGAGGAGGTCCGATGCTCCACCAGATTGGTTTTAGAGCTTAGGCCTAGAAACCGGGGCTGCCTGTAGCTTTTCTGAGCTCAGGGTTTAGGGTTTAGGGTTTAGGGTTTAGGGCTCAGGGGTGGTGTCGTTGAGGGTTTTACATGCATTTTCGAGGTTCCTCTTCGCGAACTGGTCGGCCATAGCTGACTGCTTTCTGCCCTCACGACGGAAAAGGCACGGCAGAATACAGTCTCCCAACCCCTAACATGCTAAACCCTAAACCCTCAACCCTTACCCCTAACCCCTCAACCTGAAGCCCTAAACCGGGAGTGTGCCCCTAGAAACCGTGAGGCTGAAGGCCTTCAAGACTGAAGCTCTCCTGGATTTAGGTCGAGATAGGTTCCTTGGTAGCCCAGTGGTACCCTTTACCTTTTTTTTGGATATGGGTTCCCTTATGAAATAGCCAACCCCAAAAAAGGGTGATCTTATTGCAATATGGTCACTGGGCTACCAAGGTTAGTTCAAGGTTTTGATCTCCATTTGCATGCAAGCCGTGACCAACCGCATGGTACAGTTGCGCCGCGATGTACTGTGCACTACTAAACCCCAAGCCCCCCAAACCCTAGACCCGAAACCTTAGACCCTACACCCTAAACCCTAAACCCTGAACCCTAAACCCTGAACCCTAAACCCTAGACCCTAGACCCTAAACCCTAAACCCTAAACCCGAAGCAAAGAGCCCCCAAAAACAGGAGAGGTTCTTTGCCCTTGCACTGCCAGGTCCAGGAGTTCCTCTGGGCCGGGTCCCTCCGGCAGGTGCCTTGACCGTTGGTACCCTTTGGCCTTGTCTTTGGTTCAAGGTTCTCTTTATTCTTCTGGGTGGAAAGGGATGCTAGGGTTTAGGGTTTAGGGTGGTTAGGGTTTAGGGTAAACATCGAAAACTCAAGACCCAAAAAACAAGAGCCCTCGACTCCAAGCCCCCCAAAGTGTCGCTGGGAGGCGGGGGTCTGACGTCGAACCCAACCCTGGCTCACGTCCGCGGTGGATTCCGAAGCACTCGCGCAGGGAGCTCGGACCTAACCTTCTCTAGGTTTAGGGTTTAGGGTTTAGGGTTTAGGGTTTAGGGTTCAGGGTTTAGGGTTTAGGGTTTAGGGTTTAGGGTTTTCGGCTTAGGGTTTGTAAGACCCAGAGTAGGCCCTGATGGGATAGGGATCAAAAAAAAATAAAAAAGGATCAAAAAGAAAATAAAAAAGGATCAAAAAGAAAATAAAAAAGGATCAAAAAAAAAATAAGGCCGCGATCGACGACCCTCTCACACGAAACGCGTCTCGAGGCGCAAAAACTCGAGTTTTGGTACGTTCTCAGAGCACGATGGACGACCCTCTCACACGACACGCATCTCGAGGCGCTAAAACCCTGAGTTTTGGCACGTTTTCCGAGTGGAACTCTTGGCTTCCCGGCTTCTTGGCTTGTTGCCTTCTTGGCTTCTTGGCTTCCTGGCTCTCCTCGGCTTTTAGCTTTTTGGCTTCTTGGCTTCTTGGCTTCTTTTTTAAGTCGCAACCGCTTGCTTCGACGCATACGCGTGTGTCGAAAGCCATGATGCGAGGATTGTGTTTGCAAATGGGGGGGGCTGCCCCCCCCCCAACCCCCCCGCTTTTTAAGTCGCGCAAGCTTGCTTCGAAAAATAAGCGTCTTTTTTCGAAACTAATGACGCGAGCATTGTGTTTGCGTGTTGGGGGGCGGGGGGGGGCTGCGCCCCCCCCCCAGACCCCGCTTTTTCAAATCGCGCAAGCTTGCTTCAAAGCAT